GGAGAGGAAGGTCCCATCGTCACTCTGCTCCAAGCATGTCGAGACCCTGGCCAGGGCAGGTGACTTCCCCTAACCTTATCACCCTGGTGTGACACTGGGCAGGTCAGAGGTGGGGCGTCTTCAGCGACAGTTAAACTTCTTGTCAGAGCCTCCAGGCTGAGGCGGGAATCGGGAGCCCGAAGCAATTAGAAGCTGCCTCGCCTCGTCTCCCGCCAGCTGCCACAGCTGTCGCACAGGAAGAAGGCGGTACCCGTGTCCCCTGCCCATCTTGCAGGGGCCGGTCTGTGAGGCCCAAACCAGTCCCAGACAGAAGCCCCCACTTCCTAGAGGGGAAGACTGAGGCCTGGTGGTCACCACGGACAGGGATCTCTGCTGATTCCCAGCCCCAAGCTCTTCCACCTCTGTCCAGGCTCAGTTTCCCACCAGACCCTCTTTCCCTGGAACACTGGTTCTAAACCTGGCTACCCTGAGGCTCGAAGGGAACTTTTAAAACAATTTTGGTGGGACCGGGACTCGACCTCAGGGCTTTGCGCTTACAAAGTAGGCGCTCTACCACTTGAACCCCACCTCCAGTCCATTTTGCTTTAGTTATTTCTCAGATGAGTCTCTCGCCCCTTGCCTGGAGCCAGCCTGGACCGTGTTCCTCCCACCACTGCCTCTTGCCTAGCTGGGATTACAGGCATGAGCCACCACACCTGACTCCACCTCTGATGCTCTTTATCCATCCCCAAGTTGCTTCTAAAGGAGAAACGAATTTAAGGGCCTGTCCTCTTCACCCCATCCCTCTCCCATGGCCTCTGTTCTGTGCTGTCCTGTCCGCACTCCTGTCACCTTGAAGAGCTGTGCCTTTGAGGGCTTGAGAGAGAGTGGCCAGAGCAGGGAGAGCCCAGAGCTGACAGGAGCCCCTAGCTCTCCAACCACACCCTCTCCTGGCCCAGCCAGTGTCTGCAAGTCTATAAATTCCATTATTCATCAAGTGACTATGTGAGTTTTCCCGGACAATGAATATTTTATTCATCTCCAGACACTGTCCCCAGCGGATTCTTGGAACAATATTGTTCTCCAGCCAACGAGCAGAGGCCAGAGCCTCTGTTGTCCCTGGACACTTCCTTCTTGCCATCTGTACCTTCCTCCCCCCACCCCCACAGCACCTTCTCTCCCAGGAGGCCTCCTGGCTCCGGCAGGGTCATAGCCAGTGGTCCAAGCACCTTGGACTTGGTGCTCCACTCTGATTTCCTCATCTGGGCAATGGGTTGCCTGTCTGTCTTGCAGTCTGTCCTGGGCCCTCCACCACTGGGCTCTCCCAGGAGCTCTCCCTGGTGCTGAACACAGGTAGCAAGAGGATGGAGGCCTCAGAGGAGAGGGGTGCGGGCTGTGGGGGAGGACCTGGCTCTCAGGACAGGGATATGAAAGTCCCCCACTTCTCTCCTCTTGCCTCCCTGCCTCTTGGGGAAGCTCCAAGTTGCAGGTTTCACTGGGTCACCTCTCTTGGTGCCTCCAGCCCCCTGCGCTAACGATAAGTGAGCAAGGTCCATGGAGACCCCTCTTGGGGAGGCCCAAGACCCATGCATCTCGTGGTGGGGACCCAGGGAGTGCAGTGATGGCAGTAGCACCTTCCCCAGATGGGGGAGTGACAGACATAATTCACACCCTGCGATCACGCCATCTGCTCCCGTGATGGCGCAGGGGAGAGGACGGAGCTGCCAGGCCGGAGGGCGGGGTGGGAGAGCAATTGTTCATTCATTCATTCTCTCATTTATTCATTCATTCATCCTCTCATTCATTCATTCATTCTCTCTCCTTCATCTTCCCAAGCCCAGCCCTGCCCCCTGCCAGGTTTGGAGGACACAGACCCAGACCCTGCCCTGCAGAGCTACGAGTGGGCCTCTCATGCTGGCTTCCCCCGACTTGTAATAGGAACCACTGGGTCCAATGCACTGAGCACTTTACATCATTCATTCAGCAGCTGGATGTGTTCCCATTTAACAGATGAGTAAGATGAGGCGCTGAGCGGTCACACGGTAAGCTCGTGCTTCTTGCAGAGATCTGACTGCTCGTGGCACTGTCTCCTTATCCCAGGTCCAAGACTTCAGGTCCTGCCTCCATGACCCTCGGTAAAAGCTGTCACCCTAACTTTTCAGCAGACAGTGGGAGCTGCCGCCTAGCACACTGCCCAGCCCTGTGGCCCTTGCTCTGTGAGCCCCAGACACAGGCATCCCACACTGAGTTCTAGACCAGTGCATGGAACCTGGCACCCAGAGGCTGCCCAGGGAACCTCCGGGGTCAACAGTGGTTCCAACTCTTGCTCTGCCTGTCCCTTCAGCCCCCCAAGGGCCAGTCCTTGCCCATGAATGGTGGTAAGGCACATGCGGGGGTGGGGACACTCAGCAGGTCACCTGCACGGCCCAGGTGTGTCCCATGTCCAGAAGGGGGAGCAGGTGCAGCTCCTGGCGTGCAGAACATGGTGCTGACTAGCAGCTCGCTGGGTCAGCAGCCAGCACGGTGGCCTGTGGCTTTGCAGGAGGAGAGAGGACAGGCAGCAACCTGAGTCACCAGGGTTGACAGAACTGATCCCCAAGCAGTGGAGTTCACATAATGTAAGCGCTATAATCCCTTTAGGTCTGGAGGGAGCCTGCTGCTTGGAGAAACCTGGTCACAGGTAAATGACATGAGCCCTTGGCCACTGATCACGGGTCTGGGGAGGCCTGTGTCCCCATGTGCCCTCACGCTGTCCCTCAGCAGACTCGCGGGGCCGGGCTGTGCCCAGGAGGCCCTCTGAATTTGTGCTCCATTCCTCGCGACGGTTTCCCTCTTCTTTTGAAAACTCCAGGGCAGCAAAGCCAGCAGCCAGCAGCACACACTCCGCAGCAGCGTCCGGGGAAGTCACTGGGGACTGGGTTTCCTGCCACTCAACCCACTCAACCTCAGCCCAGCTGCAAACTGGCGGGACCGGGGCAGCCTGAGCACCGAGCAAATGATAAGGCAGGAACAACTCACACTCGTCACCAATGCTATCATTAATTAATTCCTAGGTTGGGGGGAGTCCCACTAACAGGAAACTCCCAAAAGACGCAGGGAGACACTGCCACAAACCTTTCATCAGTTTATCCTCAGCAGTGCCTGGGAGGTTTTTGCTGCCTTCACTTCCCACGTGGGAAAATTGAGACCCTGGGAGATTAAGGGACACGAGTAGAGTCAAGGATCTCTGGGTCTGCCTGGCTCTGGTACTGGGTTCTTTGTTACCTCTCTGTCCCATGAGAAACCCTAAAGGAGCACCAGCTATACAGGTGGGTGAAGGGAGCTTTGAGGTGAGGCATCTCTAGCCCCAGCCCCTAGTAGTCAGCCAAGCTGGTCCAGAGGCCTGGGAGACAGACTTACAGACAGCCGGGGTCTTTCCCAGCTCCTCTGCAGATTGCAGATGCTACCGGGAGCTCCCTCCAGAGCAGTGCCCAAAAAGTGCTGGGGCCCGGGCCGGGCCTGGCTCATCACAGCTTGGCTGGGGCTGACATCTCTCACTGAGCCCCCCTCTCTCCAGGCCCCGAGACAGGGCTATGATTAATCAGTGACAAAAGCAGAAACAAGCAGTAAAATGTAATCAGCTCGGTAAGGGCAGGACCAGGCAGGGCCAGGCAGGGCGGTGGCAATCAGCCTTCCTACTGAGGCCTTTGCTGATTGGACCCAAGGGGGCAGGGAGGTGGTTCTGATGGGGGCTCCGGGGTGGGACCCAGAGCCATGGTCAGCCCAGTTCAGAAGGTCAGCCCTCTCCCCAGATGTACGCGCACATCTGTCACACGCGCCCTTGACACTCCCAGCACAAAGGTGGGCACGCCTGCCCCCACCTGCCTCCAGGTAATGCCTCCCCCCACCCTGCCAGCTCACAACCTGGGCACTTGTTGGTGGCCATACATACTTCTGTCGCTGGTGCATCTGTGCGTGGACTTGAAGCGCGTGTACACGTACCCCCTGGGTAAAAGATAAATGCACACACATGTTCCCTCAAACACCCGGCCAGGCCACCCTCCTCCCCGCCCCCACATGCACACATGGGCCTGGGGAGTCTCTGTCCCTCACTGCCCCTGGGCCATGAGACAGAGCCTGGCTCCTGCTCTGTAGCAGGGGGTCTGGGGAAGAATTCCACGCCTGTATCCCACTGTTGGGGGAGGGCAAGGTCAGCTCCTGGTGTCAACCACAAGCCAGGAAAACCAACTCCAGACCTGTGCCCAGCTCTTGCCTGCAGCCCCTGCCCTATGACCTTGGTCAACGTCCTTTGCGCAGCCTCAGTTTCCCCACCTTGTCACCAACATTGATTCTTCTCATAGGCCCCCAGCGCCTGGGGCCAACCTCGGCTTTCTGGGTCTCTGGTCCTCAGTTCCCAGTTCTTGTTGGGGGGGGTGAGGGATGGGGGTCCAGGTGGGCCAAGGGTGCAGAGGAAGGGCCCCACCCCCCAATCCACCCCCACCCTGGTCCTGATGGGGTGGGGGGCGATTGATCTGAAGGAGACCTGGGTGGGGGGAAGGGGACGCCGAGGCCCAAGCGGAGGGCTTGGGCTTGGGGCGGCGGGAAGGGCGGGGCGGGGGGGGCGGGGAGCGGAGGGGCGGGCGGCGGGCGGGGGAGGCGGGGAGCTCAGCTAGCGCTGCACAGAGCGAGCGAGAGAGAGCGAGAGAGCGAGAGAGCGAGAGAGCGAGCGAGGAGCCGGAGACGCGGCGAGAGCGGGGCGAGCGGACGAGCAGCGCGGAGCGCGCGGGGCACCGGCGCGGAGAGGCCCGGGTGGCGCCGCCCCCGCCACCCCGCGGGGCCCCGGCGACGATCGGGACCAGGGACGGGGGTGGGGGGCGGCATGGCCGGGCGGCCCGGGGCGCGGGGGCGCTAAGACCCCTCCGAGGGTGGGGTGGGGGGGGAAGGAGGGCGCCCCCCCCAGCCTCAGCGCCACCGCCGCCCTCCGCAGCCGCGCGCCCCGCCCGCTCCTGTCGCCCCCGGGGTCGCCGGCGGCCCATGAGCCCCGGCCTCAAAGTTTGCGGCGGCCGGGCGCGGAGCCTCCAAGATGCCGTTCCACCCGGTGACGGCGGCGTTGATGTACCGGGGCATCTACACCGTGCCCAACCTGCTGTCGGAGCAGCGCCCCGTGGACATCCCCGAGGACGAGCTGGAGGGTGAGTGGCCGCGGGGACCCTGCCCGCCGCGCCCTACCTGTGCGCCCAGGTGAGGCGCGGGGCGCGGGGCGCGGGCGCGGGGGGCATCGCAGGTGCCGCCGCCAGGTGGGTGGCTCCAGGGAGCGGCTGCGCGGCGACAGGACCGGCCGGCACCCCTGGATGTCGCGGGGGTGGGGGTCTGGGGGCGTCTCCAAGGCCGATTTTGGGGCAGCCCGGCTGCTTGCCCGCGTGGCCCCCAGCGCTGCGGAAACTTGCCGGGCCCCGCAGCGGGGTCACGGGGCCGCGCAGCCCGCGGTGGCGGTGGCGGTGGCGGTGGCGGTGCGGCGACGCGGCGGGCGGCCCCTCGTGGGGGTCGGAACTGCGCCCCCTGCGCCCGCCCGGCCCGAGCACCCGCAACCCGATCCCCTCGGCGGCGCCCGCCCTGGCTCTGCGCTCGCATTGACATTCCGCTCGTGTCGCTTTAAAAATCCAATCGACTCGGGCAGCCGGAGAAGGGGACAGGGCGACTGCCCTGCTCGGCTCTTGCCCATCCCCTCCTGCGGCCCCAGCCCCCTGCCCCGCACCCCTGCCGGAGACCCCCAGCCTGTAGCGCCGGCAAGGCGACGGGGAGGCGGTGGCGACAACAAGTGGCCGGATTGGGCGGCCAAGCCTGGAAGGAAAGGCAAAGAGGCAAGGACCCAAACCTCCTCTCCCCGAGTCCCCCAGGTCCCTCTGCCTCTCAGACATGAGTGGGGACCGCAGAGAGATCCGAGCAGGGGCAGAGGCTGGGGTTTCCGACTGAGTGTCTTGGGGACCAGGGACCCTGCCCAGCTCTTTCCCTGCTGAGCCGGGGGAGGTGCTCAGGATTCCCCTCCCCCAGACCTCCTGGGGCCCCATATGGAGTGAACTTGGGGGCTCTGGGCTGGTGACTGAGTCTTGGCCTCTTAGGATCTGCTTCCCAGAGGGGCCGCAATCACCCCGAGGGTGACCCTGTCTCTGGGTACCTTGGGTGGAGGGGATCTTTGAGATCTGGGATTCCCTGGGGCCTACAGAGTGCAGCTGAGAGGCCAGCGCAGGCAGGGATGATGGCGGGAGCCCAGGGGAAGGAAGCCAGAGGGAGGTCCACCTCATCCCCAAGCCCGGGTGGGGGGTAGATCCTGGGGGACTCAGACTGGGTGGCCAGGAAGATGGGGAGAAAGAAGGCAGCCACCCCGGTGCCCACTGCACCACAGGCCAGGAGGAGCCACCCGCTCTCCACATCCTCTCTGTGCAACCCTCAGGTGCCAGAAGAGCCAAGGACGCTGGGGCCCCTGATCTGACCTTAGCATTCGCCCCCAAAATCCAGGTCCCGCCCTGTTTGGAGCCTCCTCTAGGGCCTAGGGAAAGGAGGGGACAAGATGAGGGTTGAGAGGGCAAGGATGGGGCATAGGCCGTCTTTCTCCACCTTTCCCACCCTGGGGCCACCCCACATTTCGCCCTTCAGTGGCCCTTCCTCCTGGTCACTCAGATGGGGGTGGACCTGTCCCCTGCACTCCAGGCAGCTTCTGCCTCATTCCTTCCCCTTGCTCGCCATACCCCCATGCTCCCTCAGCTCCAGGCCTCACTGGGTCCCTTCTGTCCTGATTCCCTAGTCCTGGAGCACACACGCTGAGGAAAGCTGTGAGGACATGAGCAGGCAGTGGTGAGCAGGCCACAGGGCAGACAGTGTCCTGGGCCACCCAGTGGACACGCTGGCAGGATTCCAGCGGTGTTAGTCACCATCGCACCAAACTCACTGCCTCTCTCCTGTCCCCTCCTCCTTGGGTAGCAAAGGGGCCCTGGTGCAGGGGGCCAGTGCCCATTCGTTCTCCTGCCTCTGGATAAGACCCAGGCCTTTGCTGGAAGGAAGCCGTCGGTGGGGGAGCCACCTGTGCCAGGAAGAGGGAGCTGGGTGGCCTGGGAGAAAATGCTGCAAACATCACACGTCTGCCTGCCTGCCGCAGAAATCCAGGGGGCGGCCGGTCTGCATGGGGACGAGGACCCTGATAGGAGGTTGGAGCAAAGGGTTGAACGGAAGGCTTCTCAGCCAGGCAACTCTGGGTTCCAGTCTCTGCACCCTCACTTGCCTCTCTGAGCCTCTCTTTCCCCATCTGTAAAAGGGGGGTGGCACTGCCCTCTCTAGGGCTTCTGGTCGCAGAGGATGCAATAGGAGGTTGAGCCCAGGGCCTGGCAGTGAGGAGTTGGGGATCAAACACATCAGTAGGGGAGGCAGAAGAGGGGGATCGTACAGAAACATGAGGCTGGGGGGCGAGAGAAGGGCGAGGGAGGGAGAGGCTGGGCCAGAAGGTTAAGCTGGGGGCCAGGGCTACGTCTGGCCCTGAGGAGCTGTGGATGGCGACAGGGGCTGTCCCATGTTCCTTTGCTCTCTGCGCCCCACCGTGGCTGGGATGCACCCCTCTCTGACCCGAGCCCAGGCACGGAGGCAGGCTGGTTCTGAGACATTGGTGGGCTGAGTGCCTGAGGCTGGGCACGCACCAGGGCACTTGGTCTGCCGTACAGACAGTGGAGCCTGGGTTCAGAGGGCCAAGTGGGTGGCTTTCAGGGCAGTGAAGGCTGGGGAGTCCCTTTCCTGCCCCTGGTCCCTGCAGCTGAAGCCTAGCAGTGCCTCTCAAGGAGGCCGGAGAGGTGGGGCACAGGGCCAACAACGCAGAGTGGGAGCCACTGCAGAGACGGGTGCTGCCCCTTCCTCCATCCCTGTCCCCCTTGACTCTGGTGCTCTGACAGAGCGCTGGCGTCCTTGGGGCACTCAGGCCCTGACGCAACTCCACAGGTTGGGGAGGGGATCAAGGAAGGTCAGCTGGAGGTGGCAGGTGGGGGACAGTGTCGGCCTGGAAACCTGGCAGCCCTGCCAGCCCCATTCCCAGGCCAGGCGTCCATCCCTATGCCAAGAAGGAGCACGCAGGCTTCCTATGGCCTTTCGGGGAGGGAAGGGAACAGGCTTTCGGGGAAATGTACCCAGCCATAGGTGCTGATGGCACACAGTGTTGAGGAGTCATGACACCCACCCTGTCGAGGAGTCCCCTCTCCCAGCCAGGCCTCAGCTGCGGGGCAAGAGTCACAGCTACTTCACAGACGAGGCTCAGAGACAGAAGTACCTTGTCCAGGTCACTTGGGTGCAAAGACAAAGGCCTTGGGCCCAGGTCTTGGGTCTTGGCCCCAGCCATTGAGCAGGCGCCTGGCGTCCCAAGTTCACCCAGTCCTCCCTCTCCTTCCCGCCTCTGCTTCTGAGACGGGCTGATTTACAGTGTTCACCTCTGAGCCAGGCTTGGCCAAACACTTAATTTTCTTGCTTAATCATCCCAGCAAGTCCATTGTACAGGAGCACAAACTCCTGCCCAAGGTCACTCAGCCAGGATGGAGAAGAGCCGGGATTTGAACCTGCATCTGTGTTATGTCACGCCTCCCTAACTGAGAAGGTGGCCTCCAAACTGAGCCTCTGTGGGCAAATGGGGCCAGCCGGGGCTGGGACAGGGCTTCCAGACTGTGGTGTAAGCTGGGTGTGCCAGGACGATGGGTGAAGGGACTCATGTGGGAGGTGGCAAGCTGTGTATTTACCCAGTGGCCTCGGCAGGTGAGCCCTGCTTGGGGGATGGACCAGGTCTTGCATCGGACCTGCCGTCTGCTCATGGACCTCAAGATTGACCTACCCTCCGGTCTCCCTTCTTGTCCAGTGCATTTCCTCAGGGCTTCCAGGGAAGGGAGTTGGGGAAACTGAGGCAGTCCTGGAATCTGGAGTCATCCCTGGCCCCTGCCAATATGGAAGGGGAAGCCTGAACCTTGGGGAGAGGGGGCTGCCACTGTAGCCCCACTGTGCCTCTCGGACTCTTTTACCCTACCTTGAGAGCTCCCAAGTGGGCCTTGGACTTGGAGGGGTTCAGTGTGTGGCCCTGGGTCCCCAAACCACCCCTCCCTTCAGCCCCATTTCTTTCCTCTGTGGGTGGTCTGTAGAGTCAGGGGCAGGCTCCAGGGGACAGGCAGCCTCCTCAGCCTCTACTTGCTTATTGGCTGGGGCAGGGGACAGCAAATGTGTCCCCTTGGTGGGGTTGTTTCTGGACTCAGAGCTTCTGCTCAGTCCTTTCTCTGGCTTCTCCAATGGGTGGTCCCCGCCATCAGTTAACTGATGTGCCCTGGAGTGACTGGCCTTGTTCTACCTGGTCACCTGCTCTCACAGCATTCAGTTCACAATCCATCGAGGGGGAAGAACAGGTCTGGGGAGGGGACAAGGTCAGCCAGGGTCAAGGAGGGCCCCCAGGAGATCCAGCCGTCCAAGCTGAGAACCCAGGCTGCATCACAGCTCACTACGGGAACAGGAAGAATAACGGTTCCAGGTAAAAGGAGTCACATATTTAAAGTCAGGAGATGAAGCCGTCTTAGAATTCACCAGGCTAGAGAGGGCCTCTGGGGCTGGAGTTCAGGACACGTTGGGTGGCCAGAGCCCATGACTGGGCCAGGAGGGTGACAGCACTGACCAGAAACCTACCTGTGTGCCATGTCTGTGTGAGTTCCCCTATGGCTGCCAGGCCATACACACCTCCAGTCACAGAGAGACTACTTCCTTGGGGACCCAGGAAGATGCTTGCAGCCGCTGGCCTGGAGTTCCCAGAGTTCGGGATTTGCAGAAACCCCTGGGCCTGGCCCAGCTGCTTCCCTGGCCCTGGGGACATTGATGGGACCAGAGTGTCGGGCCTTGCCTGGGGTGGCAGACTGATGTCTGTCTTTGCCTCCTGGGAGACTGATCTCCAGCCCTGGGCACCTGGAAGAAAAGTCTGGGAGGGGGCCTGTGCCACCTTGCTGTGGACTGTGGCCCCCAGTCTGTGGTGGAGCCAGCAAGCTGTCCCAGGCTTCCCTTGTCCCCAGGAAACCAGAGGGTGTTCTTAAAGTGCCTTACAAGCAGTTTTAGAGCTCACAGACCCTGGTCCAGTCTAACGGGTAGCATTGTTCCTGAGTCCCCACTGAGCTGGGCTGACCACTGGGCCTCTCTGGGCCTGTTCTTGGGCCTGCCCTGTAGGGCAACACGTGTGTCTACACACACACTCTCGCTCACTCTTGCCCTGCCTGCTAGTGAAACTCCACCCAAGGGAGCAAATTAGGAAAAAGCCAAGAGGCCACCAAGGAACAAAGAGGTCCCCAGGCAGCTGGATCAAGTGGACTGAGATCTATCCCTTTGGGGGACATGGCTCCGGAGCCCTGAAGGAACAGCAGCAGAGACACAGCCACTGTGAGAAGTTAGGACCCTTCAACAGGTCCTCTTTGTCCCCCTCACATCGTTCTGTTCTGCTGTGGCTAAGCCTGAGGCTGGTCCACGGTCATAGATGGAGATCCTGGCCAAATGCACTGTTCCCCACTGAAGTCACCTTGGTACAAAGGGAGACAACCCTGGCGTCTGATCCATCTGGGCCTGGTGGGGCCCGTTCCATTGCACTTGTCTTCCTCCACACTGAGAGGCAGTCTGAGCCCAGCGGCTGCAGCCGAGGCTGCCATAGGCGAGTTCTGGCCGGTGCTAAGCAGCTGTGCTGGGGGACAAAGCCCAGCGGGGGGAGGTGCAGGGGATGCTGGAGGAAGTGGGGCCGGCAGGGAGGCCTTCAGCAGCCACCTCATTCTCCTTGTGCCCACCACACGGGGTCGTCGTGAGCACATCAGGAGAGGCTGTGGGAGTCCAGCAAGCTCAGACAGACCCCGAGGGCGGCCACTGTCGCGAGCCAGGTACACGTTTGCCTGCCCAGACACAAGAAGTGTATCTCGGGGCTACCCTGTGATCATGTCGCCAGATGTGCAAGCTCTGGATGGGATTCTCAGATTCCTGGGGTCTGGATGGCTGTTGGGGATGGAGCTGAGGTCCCAGCTTGCTCTGTCCCTCCTTGTCCCCCAGAGATCCGCGAAGCCTTCAAGGTGTTCGACCGAGATGGTAATGGCTTCATCTCCAAGCAGGAGCTGGGGACAGCCATGCGCTCACTGGGCTACATGCCCAACGAGGTGGAGCTGGAGGTCATCATCCAGCGTCTGGACATGGACGGTGAGCACTGCCCCTGCCTCAGTTTCCTCACTCGTCTCCTGGGGCCGAGGGTGGGGCAACGGGCCAGGGCCTGAGCCACTGAGGCTGAGCATAATCTGGGCCTCCTGTCCCTGCTCAGAACCACACTAACGACCACAGCAGGTTGCAGCCAGCTATGGCTGCATTCGAGACCACAGAGGGTTTCATGGTCCCGGCCACACCGGGGTCAAAGACTGCTCCTGTCACTCTTGTAGGCTGAGCAATGCTAAAATATGAGGAAAAAAAAAAAAAGGATACAGTAAACATCCCAGTTCCCGCTGCCCAAAATGGTCATTGTGTTGGTCATTAACTCCTAGGAAGGACCAGGACCCCTCTCCTCCTCCTCCAGAGAGCAGGTGACAGCTGAGCAGGTGGCCCTCTTCCGAGCCTTGTTTCTTGTCTGTACGGTGGAGAACGTAGAGTTCTATACCCGTTCCTGTTGCTCAGCAATGGACCATAGGGAGCCATGGAGGGTTCTGAGTGAGCTGGCAGGGTCTCCCCTGCTCTCTCCACCGCTGCCTTTTCCCCATCACGCTTGGCGACGTCAGCATCACCCCAGAGCCTGAAACTCAAGGCCTGGGAGGGGGATGCCTGTTTGAGATCTGGCAGGCAGGACTTCATCCTAGCCCTTTGGGCCCCAGGCTCCCTGCTCAGGTTGGAGTCCAACCTGACACACTGGCCCTCTGTCCATTCTAGGTGATGGCCAGGTGGACTTTGAGGAGTTTGTGACCCTTCTGGGACCCAAGCTTTCCACTTCAGGGATCCCAGAGAAGTTCCACGGCACAGATTTTGACACCGTCTTCTGGAAGGTATGACTTGACTCGGGCTGTGCACACTGTGGAGAGGGGTTATGGGGTCTGTGAATGGCTAGGCCACACTGTGAAGGGGAGATGACCACTACAGGCTTCTGTCCACTGGGCATCTTGCCTCCGAAAGGCCACAGGCTCCCCGGGCGGCGTGGTGTTGAGCAATGGAGCAAGGTGTTGGTTTCCAGTCTTTCGGAACCTGGAGGCTTCTCACGGGGCTCAGGTGGCTGTGGTGCTGTGTGGGACTGTGGTGGGGTGATCTAGGGCACTGTCCCCCCCCCCCAGTGTGACATGCAGAAGCTCACAGTGGACGAGCTGAAGCGGCTGCTGTATGACACCTTCTGCGAGCACCTGTCCATGAAGGACATAGAAAACATCATCATGACAGAGGAGGAGAGCCACCTGGGCACAGCCGAGGAGTGCCCCGTGGACGTGGAGAGTGAGTGGCGGCCCTGGGACCCTGAGGGTGGCCCCCCTTGCCTGTCCCCAGCCCCTTGCCCCGCGTTCTCCCTGCTGGATGGAGCCCATCAAAGCTCCTCATCCCGTGTGTCTCTCCCTGGTGCTCCCGGCGGGTGGCCTCAGCCTGCTCCAACCAGCAGATCCGCCAGACGTGCGTGCGCAAGAGTCTCATCTGCGCCTTCGCCATCGCCTTCATCATCAGCGTCATGCTCATCGCGGCCAACCAGGTGCTGCGCAGTGGCATGAAGTAGACGAGGCCCCCCGCCCTCCGCCACCTGCAGCGGGCCCCCTGGGCTGCCACCCATGGGAACCGCAGGGCCTGGACGTCTGGCCACCCCTCCTCTCTCCATGGGCCTTGCATGGAGCTGTGGCCTGGCTGTGAAAGAGCTGGTGGTGGCTCTGAGAATGACCCTCAGCCCCTCTACCCTTCCTGTGCTCCTGCCTGGCCTGTAGGTAGCGCTAACTTCCCACTGTCCAGGGGCTCCTGGGAAATTGAACAATTTTCACAGGAGCCCCAGGATCAGTCACTACTGTGGTCCCTTAGGCAGAAGAGGCACCCTGTGCCCACAGAGGGCAGCTGCCCAGGGCCACACAGCCAACCCCAGCTCTGGGCCCTGAGGTTTGCCAAGGCAGAAGAGGTGGCAGCAGAAAGCTCTTCCTGGAGAAGAGCACAAGGGCCCTTCCTCTGACCTTGGACCCAAGCCCAGACCTCCCTCCTCTCCCAGGTAGCTGCCCATTTCACAGGGAGGAACCTGAGGTGTGGCCTGGGTTCACCTTCAAAGGCGAGTTTCAGGAAGGGCGTAACTTCACAGAGGACAAGGTATATCTGAGGTGGCTCTGAGGCCCCTGCCCTTCTGGGCCCCCCACCGGAGGCCCTCAGCCTAGAATCCAGAACCGTAGTCCAACCGAGGGAAGCAAGGCTGGGACTAGAAGGCCCCATGTCGCCTGAGCGGCCTGTGTGATCTTCCCGATGGCCAGGGCGGTCCTCTGGGCAGAACTGTGGGAGGCCCCAGGCCACCCCCTGGGCTGAGGAGCTGGTATAGCCCAGCACAATCAGTGCTAAGAGACAGGGCACGCCGCTCTCCCAACTCAGAGCCTGCCCTCCTGGGCCTCCTACTTCTCTGCACTATCAAGGCCAGAGACACAGCTGCCATCCCTGCCTGAAGGGTGCCATCCAAAGTGCTTGGCACCAGCTCAGCACGGGAGACACCGGGTTTGCAAATTCTGCTGGGGTTGGGATGGCAGACGGAGTCCTTGGGCTCCAGCACAGCCACACTGCACACCCTCTGCCTGGCCGGGTGAGCCTCCACTGGTCCCCAAGGGCGAAGGGCTGTAAGCATGGATCACCCCGAAGAGGACTTTGTCTCATCCCAGCCCCATCTGTACCTCGACTTGGCCAGGAGCTGGAGGATGGAGTTGAGAATGCCAGCAGGGGAAATACAGCCAAGCCACCACCAGGACAGACAGACTTTCTAAACATCTGGAAGTTTCCTCACCTGTCTTCTCACGACATCCATGAGGGACAGTGGGGCGAGGGTGAGGAGGGTGCAGCTGCCCAGTGCAGACCAGGACCAGGGCTGCAGCTGGCTTGGGGTCTTCTGAGCCTGGGGGAGGCCAGGCCCAGGGTCTCAGAGGTACAGCAGGAAGGGAGCTGAATCTCCATAGTGTGAGCGACTGTCTTTATTGTGACTGACAAGAGAGTTGACCAAATGGGAGTCAGGCAGGGTCAAAGGAAGTCAGCCCCACTGGACTCTGGGCTGCAGGGGCCACCCCCCGGGTGGGGGCGCCCTCAGGGAGGGGGGCAGCTCCTGAACTGGCGGCCAGCCCATGGGGTACTGGAAGACGGTGGCTCTGATGGGTTCAGCCCTAGAGAGAAGGAGAGAGCAGAGCATCAGAGTGTGGCATGGCCTAGGTTCAGCTCCTGGCTGGGGGGAAGGTCAGCTGCCTACATGACCTTCTTGAAAGCAGAGCCCTGAAAACAATGCAGACCCCAAGCCAGCAACCTCCCCTCTAGGAACTGAGCCCAAGGAAACAGCGAGGTTATAGGCAGAGGCTGAGCTACAAGGATGGCCTTGAGAAAGTGGAAGTAGCCTCAGTGTCCACCTGTGAGGGACTGATGACATATGCATGCATGTGCACAGAGACGAACGCTAGCAGCCTGCGTGGAAATTCAGACTTATATGCACTAACGAGGAACAACGTACTATGTGACAAGGGAGAAAAAGCAGCTTATAAAATAATGTATATAGCATGATACTATTTTTGTTTAAAGATATATAACATATATAAATGCATAAAAAAACCCCTGGAAGTCACAGTAAACTGTTCACAGTGGTTGTGTCTATCTGAGCGGTGCAGGTATGGGTGGTGGTTTTACCCTTTATACTTTCAAAAGTTTTACGAGCATGCAAGCCTTTGAAATCACAAAAGAATATTCTCTAACTTTTTTTTTTTAAAAAGCCTCATTTCTCATGCTACTGACTGTCCTCACCATTCACCCCCAGACTCGGGACCCATTTGAAGTGCCACCCCAAGAAAGGCATCCTCTTTGCCTAGCTTTCTAAGGGAGCTACTGAGGCCCAGCGAAGCCACAGGCAGCCCCTCCTGAGTGTCACACTCTTGGACACTCAGCATGCCTGGCAGCTGCTTCAGCTTTCGGTGCCCTTCTCGGCTGTGGAGCACTTGGGACTCTCCCTGGAGCTCTCCAGGCAAGGTTGTGGGGTGGGGTGGGGGGTGCTGAGGTCAGCAGCTCTGAGAGTTTGCCTCACCCTGCCCACCCAGCCTGCCCCTCTGGGCCCGAGCTGCAGTACGGTGTTGACTTCCAGAAAGCCCTGAGTGCAGCCTCTAGGGCTCTGTCATGAGGGGACAGGGACATCCCCTGCTCTGAGGCTTCCTGCCTGCTGGAGAGGGCAGAACGAAGCTCTTGACATGATTTATGGTGCCGGGAAGATTTCATAAACTCCACTAGCTGCAGAGGAGGTGGGTGTGGGGGAGACTTCCCATGTGCAGGAAGGGACAGCCCCAGCTGCCAGCCAAAGTGGGTCTCCCTGTGGGGTCAATGACAGCAGGGCTCCCCCAGGGAGGGTGAGACCCTAGGGAGCCCCTGCTTCTGAGCCTCAGGTTCTTCCACCAGCAAACAGGGCAGATCCCAGGCTGCTGGACCCAGCTACAGGGTTCAAGACTCAGGCCAGCCCCTGGTCACCTAAAGCTCGCAACAGGAGGAAGGCATCTGAGTTTGCTCACTGGCACCTGGCCAGGGCCCCAGGATGCCAGCCCCCGAGCCTCAGGCCACTCCTGCAGACCCTCACAGCAGAGGGGGACACAGGTGTGTGCGAAGGACTCTGCTGAGGCTTCTCGTGGCCAGTCTGCCTGTTCACAAGGACAGAAGCACCTTCCTGGCACCTGCCCAGTCATGGTTCTTATCAAAAGGAAATAGAGTCTTATGGGGGGAGGATGGGCAGAATAGCAGCACCAGCACGGAGAGGTGCATGGGAGATTAAGGGGGATAAAGACGCAATCAGAAGAACCAACAATGGAAGCCAGGACAGCTCTGGCCTGGCCGGCCAGGGATTAGTCTGCATGTCTGAGGTTTGAGACCAGCACTCCCTCCCCACTGCCACTGTCTGCTCTTGGCCGATCCCTCAGGGTCAGTCTGCTGAGGGATGAGCAGATGCCACCAGGCTACACCTTTAGGGAGCCTCTGTGTCCCTACAAGTACAAGGACGGTTGGCCTGGCTCACCTTGTGGGGGTGCTGCCCTGCCTGTAGGGGTTGGATCCTGCAGGTCTGGGTGGGCCCAGGTGGGCCAGGCAGCCATCTGAGCCCAGAGGAAGGAACAGACATACAGAGAAGAGGAGGAGCTGCCAAGGTCCCCAGATCAGTCCTTACAAGGGGCCCATAGCACCAACACCCAGCAACAGTCTTCTGGGCCCTCAGGCAGTTGCGGTGTCCTGCTCAGGCTAGGAGGGGAAACGGGGCTGGAAGGGACGTGTGAGCCAGAGCTGCAGGCTGGGTGGGGCTGGGCCAGGAAAGAGGCATGGAGTCTGTTTCAGGCTAAGGAAATGGTATGGCAGGGTCCCAATCATAAACACTGGCTAAGAGGCTACCAAGTCCACAGTGACTGACCCAGGTCAGATGTGAGAGGTGAGCAGGGGACTCCAAGGCCAGGCAGCAGCAGGTGCCCTCAGGCCTGAGGGTTGGGCCTGGTGTTTGGGAAGTTGTGCAGCAGAGGCCCAGGGCCCTGTAGTTTCAGGAGCTGTGGGGTGGAGGAGGAACTAGAGGAAAGGGGACATTCGTGAAGGGACTCTAGAGATGCCCAGGAGAGCCAGGGTGGACAAAGGGCATGGGAATGTACCCCTCAGTCCCCTTCTCTCCCCTCCCTCCTTTAGTCCTTGGTGATGGAGCCCAGGCACCCTGGCCTTTGTTTTTGGCTATGATGCTATGTGGCTACAGAAGCCACTGCCTGCCGCCCTGTGCCTCTGGGGGCAGATGTGAAGTATGGGCTGCAGAGGACCTGTGGTGGCAGGCGGCCGGCACCCCTGGGCTTCTGGCCCAGCCTGTGTGGGAGGTGAAGGGCTCTGTCTACTTCTGAGCATCCTGAATGCTCAGCACCCCTCCTTTAGGGAGGCAGTGGGACAATGACCTTGTCACACCTCAGTGCAATGCTGTGCCCTTGAGCCAGTCACAGCTCTCTGTGAGCCTCAGTTTCCCCTTCTGCAGGACCTTAGAGGGGACAGTGGATAGCAGGTACAGGGAGCTCAGCTGCCACAGCTGAAGGGCTTCCTTCCAGCAGTGGATATAGCGGTATAGAGTTAAATCTGTTTTGTCATCTGCCTCCCATTCAGCCACCATCCCCTACAAAGGGGAACAGGGAACAGGTGCCTCTGGCCAGGGCCTGGGGACCCACAGCTTCCAACGTGGCCCAACTCTCAGGAAACTCTATAGTGGCAGTCCACATTTGGTCCCTGGGCCCAGGCAGTTCACAGAAATGCCTCAGCTTCTGCAAAGGACAGGCTGGGGTACTGCTCCCAGTGGGGATGACAGGGAACCCTGGGGCTGTACCTGCCGCTGGGGGCTGAACTCAGCCGCTTGGCTCTCTTCTCTAGCCACTCCTCCAGATGGCCCTCGGGGAGCTCAGCTGTGTCCAGTGGCCACTCCCTGGCCCTCCTCTCCTCTGTTTTGGACAGGAAGAAAAGGAAGGTAAGGGGAACAATCTTGCCTGCCTGAATCCCAAAGCAGCAGGAACTGGTGGGTGCTGGGCAAACCATGGGATGCTGCAATGACCTTCTGATAAGATGCAGGCTGGTCTGCCAGGAGCAGAGCCACCAGCTGTCTCCTCTGTGCCACTGTCTCCCCAGCCCTTCTGTGCACTACCATCTCACACTCTGGATCTTGCTCTGCCTCCTGCTAAACGGAGAGTACACTGGCTGTCTCCTGAGCTTTGGGGAGCTGAAAACAGGGCAATGAGTGTAAAGAGCCCTCCCCTCAGGAGGGGGGTCAAGGATCCAAATCTGGGGTTCAGGAGCCAACACGGATCATAGAATGGGGTAGGATCTCAGGTCTGCCACCTGCTAAGTGTCTGACCCCAGATAAGCTGAGAGCCTCAGTTTTCCTGGTTTTTCTTCTCATACAGTGCTCACTGGACTAAAATCAAGCAATGAATGCACAGAGTTCACACAAGCTGGGTACAAGCAGCTTCTGGTGTCAGAGCGCCCAGCGCTCTGGGACGGGGCTTTGGGCCAGGGAATACAATCAAACTCACTGACCAACACTGCCTCCAACAGGAACAGCCATGTGCCAAAGTCACGGGAGATGTGGCAGAACCAGAATGGTCCACACTGCCGGCCCCAGTGGGCCTCACCCTACCTCTGTCTCCACTACATGTCTTCTCCAACTCCAAGCCTAGTGGCCTGTGCTCTCCCTACTGTGAGCCAACCTTCCCCAAAAGCCCATGGGCAGTGAAGAGCTGGTGAAGCCACCGCTGCCAGGACTCACTGGTCATTCCCACGAGGCCTCACTTGTGCCCTGAAAAGCTCCTGGAGACCCTGAGGGGGTTCCAGCTGCAGCCACACCTCTGTTGGCTCCCCAGTTCAGGGCATGGAGTCCACAGGGTCTGACTAGGTGAGGGACAGGTGTGGCCAGTAAGGCTTATCAGGGGCTGAGGGCAAAGCCAATCTGCCCAGAGGCCACTGGATGGAGAAAAGTAAGCAGCAGCCCCCTGGGGAGCCGCAGACCACCAGGGTTCACATGAGGCCTCTCTGCTGGAGTGCTGGCCTACCATTTTGACACCTATTCAATGAGGGGCTACGGGAGAAGATCAGTAAGAACTGCTTTGTTCTGTAACTGGGCAGTGGGCAGTGAATTCCAGAGGCAGACATGCTGGTTTCTCCAGGAGCCAAAATCACCAGGCTGTGAGGACCCTAAAGCAGGGAAAGTGCTTTCTTCATCGCCATGGCCCCAAGGTGTGGTAGGGGAGCCATCTGAGGTCAAGTGGGGACTCCGAAGTTCCTCACTCAGGAAGGGATGGAAGGCACCCACAAATAACTGCCCAGGCAGGGGCACTAAGGCACACTCTCGGGACTCCTGGGGGAAGCCATGTGTGTTTCATTTCAGACAACACAGCCATGTTCCTGACACCCACCCTAACTGGAGGTTCAGGAATCTCCCATCATCCTGCAGGCTGCCACACTGTGGCTGCAAGGAGGGAGAGGTGAGGAGGACAGGCCCAGAGCAGCTTCCTTGGTCTCAGATCCATACCCTCTCCCCACCCCATTCCCGCCTCCTCCAGGATCCCCACTGCAACGCACCCTCCACCTGGATGTTCAGCTCCTGCAGGTCTCGCTCTGACATATGGGAAAAGCGACAGTTGGAGCCAAAGTCACACTGGCCTGCAACAGGAGGACGAATTAGTCGCCATTCAGGAAGGGGCTACAGGCTGAAGGTGCTGTGATGACAAATTCCAGAGTTTTAGGGGTAGGGTTTTAGGGCCTGGAGTAGCAACCCCAGTCCAGAAAAAAAAAAAACAAGACTTTCTCTACACTCAGCAGCCACAGCAATCTGTATGGTCCATGGTGCCCTACTCATGACCCTCTGTGGGCAGTTCTTATGCTGAAGACCAAATCCAGCCAGAGCCTGTCAGGACAGGCTGCACAAGCCTCTGCAGGCTGCCCTGGCCACCTCCACGAGTTACATGTGGGTTCCTTAAAGGTCATGCTTCCTCTAGGTCACTCACCTGGTGCCCTGCCTGCCCACCTGCCTTGCATGAGTAGCTGGAATGCTCTTCAGGAGGGCCTCAGTGGCAGCTTTACCAAGGCGTGGCTGGTCCCTGAGGGGACCTGAGTGGAGAATAGCACTTTACCTGTCAGGAGGAACTTCCTGCAGGGCCGTTTATTCTGCTCATCCAGCAAGATGGCAGCCGCATCTGTAAGAGAAGAGTGGGGCTGAGTTTAGATGGCTCCATTTCTCTTGGTGAGTTACAGAGGCATGGACTTCAGCTGGACATACTTGTGAGGAAAGAAAAGAGCTCTCCAACCTCCAAGGAGTGTAAGTTAGAGTTGATCACAGGTGGGGGTGTTAGGCAGAGGGATCCAAGCTGGAGAGGGATCCCACCCAGGATCAGCCAAAGGCAAGAAACAAGTCTGAGGTCAGAGCTTCTCCACTTTGGCTGCATTACCTGGGGAGTTAAAAATCCAGGCACCACTGACCGCCTTTATATTGTCTTTCTAACTTCCTGTGAATCTGTAATTATGTCTATCATGGGCCAAATAAAGACGTTTTGGTCAACAGGCTGCATACACAATGGTGATTCCATAAGATATATTGCCTAGTGATGTCATATCGATCTCGATATGTGATGGTTGCATAATGACAAAATTGCTCAGAACATATCCCTGTCATTAAGAGATGTGTGATTGTTTCAAAATAAGGATAAAAAAAAAAAAATCCTGGTGTTCAGTGACTACCAGTATCTAGGACGGCTCTGCAGGCAAGATTGCAACCCCTGCTCTCCATTTTATCTCCTGACACCAGCTGCCCTGGATAGGACTTCCCTGCAATCATTCTGGATGATTAACCATTAAGCCTGGTTCCTCCTTTTTCTCCTACCTTTATTTTATCATATACTTACAGTTTTAAATTTTCTGTGCTTCTTGTAGTCAAAGTATCAATCAATCTATCAAAATCTGTAAGCTTGGCATGGAGGCACTACATGCCTGTAGTCCCAGCTACTTGGGAGGCTGAGCTGGAAGGATCGCTTAAGCCAAAGAGTTCAAGACCAGCCTGGGCAGCCTAGCAAAAACCAACAAGACAACTGGAGGCGTGGCTTAAGTGGTAGAGAGCCTGCTTTGCAAGTGCAAAGCCCTGAGTTTAAACCCTGTAACACCAAATAAAGTATCTGGGTAATATGCCTGAGCATGGTCCTTGGACTCAGGCCTACTAGCCTCCCTGGATGAGGGGAGAGGCCAGGCTGGACTGGGTTTTTGCCCGCTACCTTTTCTAGAGGCTGCTGGAGTGCAGGGAAGGCCATGTGCTTCAGAGTCATGAACCCTGAGCTCAAATCCCAGGCACACAAAAGCACAGGCAAGGTGCTCTCTTTTACTCCATGTAAATGGAGGGAACTCCCACCTGGTAAGGCTGCCATGCAAATTTAATGAAACAATGAATGGAGAACACTTTTGCAGGTGAGGCTTTTGGATCCCAGCCCTGGTGGCACCTGAGAATCATCAGAAAAATGACAAGGGACCAGCCTGTGAGGCTTGGTGCGGCCTCAGCATCCTGGGCACCAGGTGACAGGAAGGGGCAGACAGCACTGAGTGCATTGTTCAGAAATGGTAGCAGCTCTTATTTCTTCCGTATAAGCCTGCTATGCAGTTCTAACACCCCATTCTGCAGAGGAGGAAAACTGAGGTTCAAGCAGGGAAATGACTGCCCAAAGACACACAGTTAGGAAGCAGCTGTGTCAAGCTGGCCCCTGGTGTGAGTCTAGAGTTCCTGGTCTGTCCATGTGGTCGCTGACTTCCTAGAGGCCAGGTAAATGGCCACCCATGGCGACGCCTCTCCACAGGGTAGCTGGTGGCTGGTGGAATGGGCAGGCGAGTCTGCTGGGTTCGAGGTGGTCATTAGAGGACTTATGCAAGGGGCCCTGGCAGAGCCATGGCTGGAGCCAGCAGGGTGGGGAAGGGTCCTTCTGTCCACACCAGGCTTATCAGTCTCAGCCCACCCAGCTGGGGGTACAGACAGCACAGCCTGTCCTACCTGCCCTTCCTGGGGTGGGGGGGCGGCTAGTGGAGGATACATGAATGCTCCCAAGACCCCCTGAGCCTCGGACTAGTACAGCTTATGGCCAAGGGCTTGCAGACAAGCCTCCTGGCTGGGAGGCTTAGTGTGAGAGAAGAGTTCCAAGACCCTTTTCAGGTCTGTTTAATTCCTCAGAGCGGGAGAGCATCAGAATTGCTAAAAGCTCCATGGTGCCTCTGAAGGGTACCCAAGATCACAAGCCCCAGCCTAGGTCCTGCACAAAGAGACCCTGCTCCTCCCCCTGGTTCAAGGCTCCTGTGATCTGACTTGTCAGTTCTTCTTGCTTTATCTCCCAAAATGACCAGCTGCCCTTGGTGCTCCATGTTTATTTGCTCAGTCATTTAGCCGTTCATCTCCCAAACATTCATGGAGCATGGCCTGGATGCCAGGCACCATGCCAGGCTGAGGATTTAAGTGGAGAACAAGTCAGAGCTGGCCCTTCCTTCCAGTCCAGCAGCCACACTAATCCGTGTGGATATCAATAGGGTAAACGCTCACTATGTCGCCAAATGACCTGACCTGGCCCAGGGACGGAGAGGGTGTCCCTGGGGATTTGCTGCCTGAGCTGAGTTCTGAGGTGGAGGGGGAATGTCCTGGAGCAGAAAGGGCAGGAGGAAGGGCATGCCCGCAGAGAGGTCACACAGTGAGAGTATGGCAGGGCCAGGAGGAAGAGGCCACAGCACATGGAAGCCAGGCAAGCCAGGGGTTCTGTCTTAGTAGGCAGGCGTGAGGTCACTTAGAAGAGGGCCATTTTAGTCATCTTTGAATTTTTGGAGGCTGACTAGGAGCTGAGGATACCCTAAGTCCTCACTGAGTTGAATAAATGCACCCAAGGAAACAAAAGACGTGAGGTCAATCACTTGGAGGACACACAGACTTTGCTCCTACTTAGTAAGCCCTCCTGTGTGTGCTAAACAGTCATCACAGGATTACTGAGCCCTGTGCATCTCTGGGAGGTGAGTACTGTTGTGGCCATATTACACATGACAAAATTTGGGCCACAATGTTAGTGAGTGTCACCTCTTGCTCAGCCTCCTGAGGAGCTACCACCTACAGCTACAGAACTGTAGGACAGGACTGCAGAAGCATGCCACCCCAGCAAGTGTTTTATTGAAAGGGCCCCAGGTGATCCTAATTCACAGCCAGGTTGAGAACTGCTGCCTTACGCAGTCAGAGAGAAGCAAATGACAAGCTGTGGCAAGCACCTAGCATGTAGCAAGCACTCAATAAACACGCACTCCTTTCTTGTGAGTTCCAAATCTCAGCCCAGGAACTCTGTCTGCCTCTCTTTTCCTCTCTTTGGTTCCTTCCTCCAGGCACTGGGCCCTGTCCTGAAATCCTGCTCCAACCTGTGGAGCCCAGCTCATTCCAGGAGCGACAGGTCCACCCTGGCCATACTGCCAAGCTCCCTTTCCCTTCGGTCAGCTCAGCACAAGTACACACACCTGGGGTGTGTCCAGTCTTAGCTCATTCACCCCAGTGGCATCTGCTCTGAGAAGCCTTTCCCAAAGAACCTTCCCTTCCTCCCGCCATCTCTCCGAAGCTGGGCTATTCATCCCCCCGCCCCACTGACTGCCCCCTCTCCTTCTGCTCCCCTCGCACCAGGTGCTCATGGCTGCCTGCTTCTTTACAACTCTCAGCCCAGAGGAGTGTGCACCCCTATTTCTCTCCCTGTTTCAGCTGGTGGCTCAAACATCACCTGCGAGAGGCCTCTCCCACCCACAGAACCTCCAGAAGCTCCGTAGAGCACAGAGGCCTCAGTCAAGGTGGCTGGAGAAAGGAGCTCCCGTTTTGGCCTACCTCTCTGAGGGCCCCTCTGCCCCTGGGGCTAGGAGCCCAGGCCTCTCTCTTTTATGTTTTTCTCTCTCTTTTCTTTGGTGCTGGGAACTGAACCCAGTTCCTTCCTTCCTTTTGGTCTGCTGAGAGCCTGGAGTGTGGCTGATGCTACCTGTGTGATGTGGAGGAAGACCAAGCTCAGTCCAGAGCCCGGGAGCACCCACCTCGGAACATGTCGTACCACACCTTCTTGGCCTTAAGGTGCTGTAGCCCGTTCAGGTGCTTCTTTCGGTTGTGGAGGTTGTCCTGGAAGGAGCGGTCACAGTAGTCACAAAAGTATCGTTTTCCCATGGCCACTTACACCAGGTGCTGCGGCTGTGTGGAAAGCCACAAAATACTGGGTCAGACCACTGGAAAACAGGCCATGCGCCAAAGCCCCGGGCACAGGGGCCTGGCTGAGCCACCCCTGAACCAAGATGCCCACCCCATGAGGAGTTTGCAGCACTGACGACCTGGTCAACCAGGCCTCACTCTGGAGGGAATTTTTCAGTGCTTTTGATGTCCAGCTTCTGACCCCACCCAGTTAAAACAAGCTCAGCGGGGTGGCCTGGGCTTCGGCACTTTTTAAGGCTCCCAGGTAATTCTCATATGTAGCCAGGCTACAGGACCATCACCTTAAGCCTTCTGCCAGCTCCCCTCTTCCCCTATCCCTCCTCTGACCTTGTTCCCTGTTCTCTTCATGCTGGCCACACCAGCCTCCCCTTGGTTCCTCCACTCCCTGCTTTGTTTCTCCCCGTAGCACTTATCTCCTTTGAAGTAACAGATTACTTGTTATATTTATGGTCTTTCTCCCCCCAGCAGGACTATAAATCCATCACAGCAGGTATATTTTTACTAGTTTAGTGCTAGAGTCCCAGCACCTAAAGTGGTGCTTGGAACAGGAGAGACAATCATGCATTTTGGAATAAGTGAATTAATTTCCATTTCCCTTTGGGAAAACCAGGGCTCAGAGAGAGGAAGTGATTGGCCTAAAGTCATACAATCGGCAGTCACAATGTACGTGCAGGTCCCTGCCCCCCAAATCACACTGCCCAGTGCCCTCTCTCCTGGCCAGTTCCATGCCTGGGGAAAGAGGAGGGCTCAGCTAACAGTTTCCCAAGGAGATTACAAAATTCTCAGGGGACTGGTCCCCAGCCAGTCTCGGAGGGAAATGAGAACACTATAGTCTTAAGAGCCCTCAGTCTACCGCCACCATTCCTATTCCAGGAGCTCTGTGGGCCAAGGTGGATGGTGGTCTGTGACTCACAGCCAGCCTCTAGGTCCTCCAGCTCCTCTGTGTACAAGACCTCAGAAAAGGTTCACCAGAGGCTGTCAAGTGGGACCTGCAAAGCCAGAATTCAGCCCAGTCCCTCACCCTGTGTTCTGTTCCTCAGGTCACAGGAGGGCCACAGGAGGATGGAAATGACTTCCCTGAGATCAGAAGACAACTGCCAAGGCTGCCAGCCAAAGCCTCAACTCCCAGGACCTGGCAAATAAGACTGAAGCTGGGACCTGATCCACTGAGCAGACAGAAGGGGAGTGCATTTTGAGAGGAAGAGACCGAGGAGAGGTGCAGAGACAAACGAGTCTCTGGACAGCTCCAGCAGCCAAGCAGGTTGATAGAGAAAGTTATTCCTGCAGCAGACAGGGACGGCAGCCATTAAGACAGGGGCTGTAATGGGATCAGGAACAGCCAGTCATTCCAAATGAAAACGTATAAAACCTCTATTCTCCCATTACTGCTGAGAAACTGCATCTCACACACACGAACTTGATATATTAAATTTGGCAGCTCTAATACACCCTATCTTCCCAACAAACTTATAGGAATTGGATTGAAATTGTAAGAGATGAACATTTAACGGCCGAGCGCTTAACCAAGCCTTCACGAAGCTTGAAGCTCCAAGGAGCTGCTGGCGCTGGAGAGTAATGGGGAAGGGAGCGATGGAGGAGGGTGACCCCGTGTGAGACTGACACAGAACAGGGGCTCTGCGGCACACTGAGCTGATCCAAACCACACAGGGCAAGAGGAGCAGTGTGACCTTGGGCAAGTCCCCCTCTAGGCCTCTGCTTCACTGTGAGCCTGTGCGGCAGCGGGTCTGAGGAGCACGATGGAGAAGTCTGCAAATGCAAATGGATCATTAGGGATGGGGTGTAGCTCAGTGGTACAGCGCTTGCCTAGCATGTTCAAGGGCCTGGGTTCAATCCCTGGCACTGCAAAAACACTTAAAAAAGGTTATTAATTAAAAATAACACTATTAATGCCTGACATCCAGCAAGTGCTCAATCAAGGCTATTATGAGAGCTCGTGGTTATTGGGCGTTTACTACCTGTTGGCAGCAGGATAATTGCATGTCATTTCACTTAACCCTCAGGACCTGTGGGGTAGGGCCTGTGACTCCTTTTCAGATGACAGCACTGAGGCTCCTCTGTCAATGCCATGCCTAGTAGCAGGCAGCAAACCCCACACTCCTACTCACTTACCCAAAGTCTCCTCCAACAAGTCATCCTGATGGCACCTGTCCTTTACTAATCACACCTCTGGGACCAGGCTGGTATGCACTATATACCCACTTACAAATGAGGAAACTGAGGCTCAGGTGCCTTACTTAGGTCACAGTGTAGGAAGGGCACAGCAGGTCTCAGGGTGGGAAAGCCTAAGTTCTTGCTGCCCTACTAACTATCTCAAACACCACCCCACCAGGAAATCTAGGTCACATGCCCCTCTGTCCGCTCAGACATGCTAGGAACCAAATAATGGCCTCTTAGTGCTAGGCGGTGTGTGTCCCACACACATAAGGCAAAATATCAATGACTCCATTTATGTCCTTGCATTAGCCTCAGCTACCCTCCCATAACCTTCTCTGCCCACCGTCATCTGGCACATGGGAAATGTTTGACCCCACGTTCTCATCCTAGCTCTGCCACGTTTGACTGTGACCGTCACTTGCCCTCTGTTTCCATATGTGTGAAGCTGCAGGAGGATGGATCTGAAGGTGCTATATCTGGTGGTCAGATGAGAAGATGCTCACAACAGCACCTCATCACTGCTGGGGACACAGTGAACATCAGGACCTGCTGTGGCCTGGGCTATGTGTCAGGGAGGCCATATGGGACAAGGGTTAAGAGCTGGGCTCTGGAGTCAACATCAGGGTTTAAATCCAGGTGCCACTGCTTTTTATTTCACTTCTGGCCTCAGATTTCTACTATGAAGACCAGGAGAGTGATAATGGGCCCCGCAGGGTCAAAAGGATGCATGGGTGCACCTGGCACAGGGTTGGGTCCACAGGAGGCCCTTAAGAAATTCTGGCCGTCAACGCCATCATTGGCATGGGCCTCCAGAAAACAGAGGCTCAGACGAGAAACCTCTGGGGTCAGCTGGTTCAAACTGCAGATGAGAAAAGTGAGGCCAGGAGCGGGAAGGAGGCTGCCTAAAGGCCACACCATAAGAAGCAGTGGGGGGACCGAACCTCAGCCTCACAGTGGGCCCAGACCCCTGCCCTGCATCACAGGCCCTGCCCAGGGATGGCATTAGGGACCCAGTGCTTCCCGCCTACTTCGCAGGCATGTACAAGCTCCATTCCTGTGCATGAGCTGGCCTTTGGGAGGTGACTTCCCCAGGTGTGAGCCCCTAGGCTCCTGACCCAAATGCTCCCGACTCTAGTGCCTGGGTGACATTAGGAAAAGGTGCGGTCTGCATCTGGCAGACACGCACTTGCCAAGCAGAACATTGGTTGGGTTTTAGCTTCGCTCACCCCTCGGCTGGCGTCCTTGCACACCTGTCCCACTGCACTTGGCAGCTCTGAGCCAGGAGTCAGGGGCTAGGGAAGAGGCAGAGTTGGAACATCTCTAGGTGGAGCAGACAGCAGCAAAGGGCGCTAAGCTGGCCTTCTCTGCCATGATTCAGCCTCATCCTCCGAGGGTGGCGTGTTCAGCAGTGTGCAGCATGTGAGCGAAGCCCTGTCCGGAACACAGAACGGTCTGGCCCCACTCCCCCGCCAGGAACACAGGTGGTGCCACCAACCCACTCCCAGGGACCAGGTCCACGGCTGCAACAGTGTCTGCTGGCTCCCCAGAGCTTTGCCAGGTAACAAGACTGAATCCTCAAGGCCAAGATAGCAGGACAACCCTCTGGGATTACTGGATGCTAACTCTAGTGACCTATGGAAAGTTAGTTGATGTCCTAGAGTCTGTCCTTATCTATTAAACAGAATCCCACAGCCGCTGAGGACTTACTGACATAGCAGAGCTACCCCTCAGTGTCTGTGGGGGAATACCAAAATCTTCAAACACTTAAGTCCTTATATAAAATGGCACAGTGTTTGCCTGTAACTGACTGAAAATTACAGTCAGGGTCAATGCCACCAGCCCCTTATACTTGGTTCTTCTCCAGAGCATGCTGGCTACAAGCCTGTGGATCTGTCTTTCTCACCAGGGCACAGGCTCCCCAAGGGCAGACTCCTGTCTGTCTGTCCTACTGCCTCTCCCACCACCAGGAAGAGGGCCCAGCCTGTCCCAGTGCCTGTCCCTGCAGAATGAATGGGCGAGTGGCCACAGCACCAAGACCTCCCATCCTCTGCTCGTCGCCAGTGCCTCCCAGCCCCCTTCCCTGCAGCCTGTTACAGAGATGCAGGGCATGAGGAGAGACAGCCAAGAAGCCTCGAAGGCAGGTCTGTCACTGCTACCCCTGCCTCATCCCACAGCAGAGCCTGCCTGCCCAGCCGGGCAGCTCCCTATGGTGCTAACCCCTCCCTGGCTGTTTCAGGGCACCTGACATTAGTCCCCCAGGCTCAGAGAAAAGATGACCACGTAGTCCAGACTCAGAGGCAGAACAGGAAAGAAGAGAGACTGGCAAGTGTGGCAAGGGGAAACAGCTTTCATTCTCTTATGCGCCCCCCTCGCCCTGTCCTCTGAGTAGGGATCAAGGGATTTATTTTGCCATGACGATACAGGCTTCCAAACACGGTTAATTTGTTTACAGCTAGGACAGACACCAAGAATAATGGTAACAATTATTGTTAGTGTCAATAATAGTATCACAGTAACAACAGCTCTTCACTGCTACGCTGTGGGGGGCCAGCCATGCTGAGGACCCCACGTCATCCGGTGGAGTTGTGGTGTCTTCACCACAATGCTGGCAAGTGGTAACCCAGGGCTGGTGTCCACATTCAGGTCTGGCTGACCCCAGAGCCCATTCTCTGCCCACACCACTACCCCACCGTGAGGCTGCTGTGGGCAGACATTTGTACTTGTCAGTCTGTTCCTTTCACTGTGTGCATCTCGGAGACGGAGCTAGCTTTGGCACAGGGCTAAAATAAACCAAGAGCTTGGCCTTG